GCTCGAAGCGTCAGCTTTTATAATCGTAACGGTGGCCAATTTACCATTTCAACTTTGTTGATACATTCAAATTATTTTGTTACCCCCACTGATGCAGCCCCAAACAGTTTCTTTAGAAACTATCAACCTTTATAGGTTTCAGAAAGTTTTTGGAATACAAAAATATCTTCTTGAGACCAGAATTTCCTTGTAGGAGAACACCTTTTAATCTATTCATCTCCAGAATTCGCAAATGCTTAAAAGTTTTGTGCAGTTTGTGTCTCAAAAATAAAATCACCTGCCATCTGTCTTTCAAAGTTACCAGACCAAGAGTGTAACCTTTGTTTACAAATGCCTCTAGAATACTCCATGCTGGAAGCAAATGCATGGTGTACCTAAATTGGAGGATTTTCAATTGAAATAAAGGGTCAGAGTGTTAAAAACTTGGAAGACTCCTTTACTCTCAGTTCCTCTGGTCTAAATTAATTGATACTTGTGTAGTGAAGTTTTTAGGAATTAATACTTAATTGGCGTGTAAATCCGAAATTAGTATGGTTTGTGTTTGCATGGACTAAAATGCTATCCTTACAGTGTTGGCACTAATTCATGCTACTTTGTTTTTTATTTTGGTTTCAGTGAAGAGGCAGATGAACTAGCCAAACGATTAAGGTTAAAATTTTATCGAGCTTCTGTGAAAGAAGATCTAAATGTTAATGATGGTAAGTAAAAAGTACAGTAAACTAGTTAGAAATGCTGATCTACATTGTTCTTTTCCTCTTTTATCTATTGTAAGGATTAATGTACTGCAACTGGTTCAAACCAAAGGGTAATATTTGATTGTGTGTTATGATCATCCAAGTGAGATTAATTGTGGGAGGGATTGTGTTGGTAGCAGTGGCTGATGTTTCGACAACCTGAGAAGAACTCATCATCTTTAACACTGATGATGACTTCTTCTGAGGTTTTCAAAAGCTACCAATGATAGTCCTTTTGAGAACTACTACCACATAGAGAACTGAAACACACAATCAACCATGATTGTCCTTTAACTTGATCATGATGATAATGTCACATTTTTACCTTTAGTCTGGACTTGTGAAACACACGTTCTAAAAGGCAAACAGTAATGTTTTACAGAATACTTTGGACTGTGTATGTGCTTGAGTACAGTTAATAAAACACATATTAAGAAAAGGTCTTAAACACTTTCAAGCATGAACTATTTGTAGAACTCACCAAACTACATATGACCTAGCCAATCAAAATTACCCCATGCACTAGTCCATTGTTTGCACCTGAGTACATTGAAGAGACCCATGGTCAAGTTATTTTAACAAAACAACAGCAGATTATATAGTAAAGTCTGTTTATGAGCCTAGTGGCCCATTAGGCTAGTGCTTAACTCCGGTTTCTGTAGCATGAAGCCACTAGGAGTATTTCTACTCCCCCATGGATGGGATGCCAGTCTATCGCAGGGTTACCCCCCAGCATTAAATTTGCCAGTACCCATTTATACACCTGGTTGAAGAGAGGCACTGTGAGAGTAAAGTGTCTTGCCTAAGAACACAACACAATGTCCTGGCCTGGGCTCGAAACTGGACAACTCAATCCGGAGTCGAGCGCACCAACCATGAGGCCACCACGCCTCCACACAGCTGATTAGATATTTTGTCAAAAATAAACTTGATAAAAACATGATTTTCATGTATATCAGTCATTTGAAGTTTTCTTTGTCTAATGGATTAATTTTGTTTTCTTCTAGTATTCATGTATCTCACAGAGAAGTATTTAGAAATACTGCAAAATGTTGATGTGGAGGAACCAAAACCATCACAACACAAAAATGGTAAAGTTTCACCACTTGCACTTGCAATGAAAGTATACCTACACTGAAATATTTGCTTAAATAATTAAAACTACTGATTTGCTTTTTTTTCTTTGCTTCTAATACCTCTTATGTCCAACTTGAAATGGTTTTTTTAGTTGTTACCAAACTCCCTCAACCTCGAGTGTACTAAAATGGTTGAAAAGTCTTTGGCTCTTACCACTCAACCCATAAATTCCAAAGATTTCACAAGAAATTCTCCTGACTGCCCACTAGGAATTGAAAATTTAATGGAGTACCTTGGTATTACCAGTAGCAGTGTTATAATTTTAAATGAATAAAGGCTGATAGTTTCGAAAGAAACTGTTTGGCCTCAACTAAAATGAAAGTGCAGATACAATTAACTGCAATAGTATGTTTACGGGTTCATGTTAGTTCTTGATACATCACATAGTAAGCCTGTAATAGCTTTGAATTTTTCTGCCAGGCGTGAGAAATAGTTCGGCAGGTATGAACTGGCATGAGATTGGAGGCATGAATTTCTAGGGTTCATGCTAGCTGTTAGGGAAAGGTGATGAAATGCTTATCCATGATGAAATCCCTAATCCAAGGGGATTAGCAATACCCCTACTAGTTTCATGGTATGGGAACACAGCCAGGCTGGTTCAACTTTCATTGATCTTCCCTTTCTTTTGTTCTTTTGATTAACCCTTTAGCTCCCAAGAGGGACTGGGATCCTATTCCTCCCCACAGCATCCATGCCAAGCAAACTTTAAGTCACAAGAATAATGAAAATGATAGGAAACTAAAAGTTCATGATGGTCAAACAAATTCTCCTTGTCAGTTCCATAGGAAATGTATAAGGAACACAAAGGTGAATACAGATATTCGCGCAAGGCCATAAAAAGTTAACAATTGTCTTATTGATTATACCTTTTCAGGTAGAAGATGAATGTGGAAATATACCAATGGTGTTAGTTCAAAACAAAATAGATTTGATTGATCAAGCATTAGTTAAAGTGTAAGTTTGTTGTGTTAAATTTTCATGCTGTCTGATTTATTGTAACCGCATACAGAGCAGCACTCTTACATGTACATCTTTCTTTGAGACAAATTAGGTTTGAGAAATAATTTGAATATATCAACAAAGTTGAAATGGTAAATTGGCCACCGTTACGATTATAAAAGCTGACGCTTCGAGCGTTAGCCCTTCAT